GGGAGGAGACGGTGGAGGCGGGCTGGGAGGAAGAGGAGATGGCGGCAACGGGGATGGTGGTAGAGGGCCAGGTGGCCGTGGTGATGGAGGCGGTGGCGATGGTGGGGGTGGGCTGGGGGGTGGCGGTGAAGGCGGTGGTGGGTTAGGTGGGCGCGGTGACGGCGGCACCGGTGGAGGCGGCGACGGTGGCGGGCTAGGCGGAGGCGGGCTGGGTGGCGGCGGAGACGGCGGCGGTGGTGGTGGCGGGCTGGGTGGTGGTGGTGGTGGCGGGCTGGGTGGCGGTGGTGGCGGCGGAGATGGTGGCGGTGGTGGTGGCGGCCTGGGCGGCGGTGGTGGCGGCGGCCTGGGTGGAGGTGGTGGCGGCGGAGACGGCGGCGGTGGTGGCGGCGGAGACGGTGGCGGTGGTGGTGGCGGGCTGGGTGGCGGTGGTGGCGGCGGAGACGGTGGCGGTGGTGGTGGCGGGCTGGGTGGTGGTGGTGGCGGCGGAGACGGTGGCGGTGGTGGTGGCGGGCTGGGTGGCGGCGAAAAAGCGCCCAACAACCCCACAGGGCAGCAATCACAGGTACCGCTCTCGACCACCGAGTAGCTGCATGTGCCGTCACCTTGGGGGCACAGATCTTGCATTGTAGGGCATGGGCCGCCCAGGTTGATGCATATCTGCTTGCCTTCTGCGGTACGAGTGGTGAGGTTAAGGTTTGTCATCTTGTACAGCGCCTTGTTCTGCTTGGCGCCATACAGCTCGAAGGTGGGCATCTGAGCGCGTTCGCCGTCGACGGTTACACGGTCAATTGAGCCCTTGCAAGTGGTGCCTGTTTTGGCAACGACGGGGCAGGGAAGGCGAGGGAACGCGGGGTAAAAGATTTGCCCAGGGCAGAGTCAGGCAGGGGCATTGCACGGCAAGCAAAATCTTCAGGTAATTCGGGTTCATATGTTGAAGCTTGGGATGTGTGCAAATGCGTTTAAGGCTAGTCTGTGCAGGAACGACGCATTGCAGACGCCATAAACATGAAAATGTGTGTGTGTGTGTGTGTGTGTATGTGTGTGCGTGCGTGTGAGCCGTCGTCCAGTTGTCACATGTGGGTTGGGGTGGGAAAGGGATGAGCGCCTGGGTACATACGCAGATGCGAGCTTGCTTAATGAGAGATTGCGCAGCCATGTCTGACATTTAGTTATGTATCTGCGCGCCCGACGCATGCTGGCCTCGAGGGATGTGCGGAGGGGCCAGCTGCGGAACAACGGAGCGGATAGATGGTTCTAGAGACAGTAAGGGACAGTAAGGGACAGTAAGGGACAGTAAGGGATAGGAAGGGATAGGAAGGCATGCGTTAAGGTAGGCGTCAAGGTAGGCGGGCAGGTGCGTAGTAAGGGACCGGCAAATGTAGCGCTATAATGCTCCTCGCACCGCCTGCATCAACGGCAGCAGCAGCTGCAGCAGTACGCATGTTTTTGCTTGTGTCCACGCGAAGGAGAAGTAAACTCGTCTCCTCCGGTTCACTGGCCTCGACCGTAGCAGTAATGTAGTAGTAGCTGTCAAAGCGAGCCCCAGACCCCGAGGGTAGTGTGTGCCCGTGGAATACAGCGGTGATACTTTTGGACCCCAATTACAAGATCAATTCATTCAGACTCACCAACAAAAAACTCCAGTTTGTTGAAATCGACGTCAGGTTTGCAGCACGCACTCCCGGGCCGGGCACACGGAACGACTCGCGCTGTGAAGCAGACCTTATTGCCGTTCACGGTGTAGGCAGGATCGACCCGGAAGCGCGACTGGTCGGGGTCGCGGGTACAACCATAAGGTGGAAACATCTCAAGGTAGGCTTGTAGCAGTTCTCTGAGGGCCAAGTATGGAGACACCCGTTTGGGACGACCATCTTAGCTAACTGACATCGACATTCCAACAAAGCCACAACCACGTTCAAGGCAGGTGAAAACTATAATTCATAAGTAATTTACCTTTTTGCAAAAGCTGGGGTTGCAGCCGCAACGAAAAGAGCCAGCAGCAATAATTTTGTATGCCGCATGGTGGTTGGCAACGCACTAAAGCTGCGTCTCAACGGCTCAGAGACGCTGGGCTTTGATGCTTATTGGAATAGGAAAGTATATGCTTGATGGTGATGTCCTTAGCTTCCCCTGAAGTTACTACCGTGAAGGTGCAAGAGACGATAGGAAAGTCGCAGAGTGTGGCGATGGAAACTCCACCCAATTTTTTTGCTCAAGATAGAAAGATGGCAGCTTGGATTTAATTGGGATAAATTTACTAAGCGGAGCCTTCTATCGCTGGGACCGCTTGACCTTGCCCTGGATGCTGTTTGAGTCCAGGGTTATGAGGTCAATGACTCAGCAAGGCTTCCCAAGCAATCTAACCTAATTAATTCTTGATTACTTTATATAAACGGACTTGCAGTAAGCATTTATCCGTTTTGCCGTACGGTAGACTACAGACGCCCGCCAGTGCTGGCCTGAGGGGACGGTTCAAGTTCGTAGTCTACCATATCACTAGCTCCATGACTATCAATGAGCGCCAAAAAATGATGCCTTTGCAACCATCGACCTCATTTTTAGGTGGACGGCTTCTTATACGACCATGCGACTTGCATATCATTATGCCCCGTGCGTTGATACATGCCGCATCCTGTTATCCAGCTTGGTTGTTAATCATCTTCATTGTTTAGATAAAAGCACTATGTATGTTATAAAATAGCCGGGACACGTGCGGCTTACGATCCTATTCATAAAGTTCCGTAAACAAATCGTGGCTAGGCATAATTCCTTATACCGTCGAAAAATCCAATCCTATGTGATTTCGTATAACATTAGGTTTGGTCGAGGAACAACGAGACGCTCCGAATTCATGATAACCAAGGGAGGTCCGTTCGGCTACCAATAAGCCATGGTAACAACTGCTGCTGCGACAAGGATCTAACGTCCATAAAAATATCCAATCCAATTTAAAAAATAATTCATTATACCTTTGGACAGCCACAGCAGGCTTATCCGCATTCCCCCGACCACATGCTCCTGGCCGGAATCCGCCAAAGCCGGTCGGTAAGGCATTTTTGGTCTATGCAATAACACTTGACATGCGAACACTCTGACATATATGCATAATTGAAGCCTAATTTTATAGGCCTCTGCGCATGCTATCCGCGGATAGCAACCCTGCGACGCAGACACTGGCCGACAGCAGAGAACTTGGGGCACTTAGCATTACTGTAAACCAGTTTTACTGGGGCTTTATATATTATCCATATTCTAACTACGTCTTACATTTTAAAATTTGTTGATGTTCGTTTATTGCTTCGCATGACAGGCTAGTTTACATGGCTAGTTTACCTGGCTAGTTTACATCAACGTGCGTCTCGAACCGCTCACGTGTCTCTGTGTAGCTGTGACCGCACATATATCCACACATATATACCACTACCTACCCATATACGTATTATTGTCTCAGCGGCTCCGCTTGCCATCGTGGTAGATAGAGTGGTAAACTTACAATTACTGGCGAGTGGTACTTACAGCTAGGTACCTATGACTAGATAGTGGTACTAACAGCTAGCTAGGAGGGGCAGCACCCAGGTCTACACAACGACATCAAAAGCATTCTAGTACTGCAGCCCCCTCGCAGCCCAACGCCCTCGCAGGCCCAGGCCATGCACAACAACTCCCTCTCCCTCCACAAACACTACGCAACCTGCCTCTGTGATCATGTTAACAGCGTCACCAACAGCTTCCAACTTAATAGCTTTTGTAACTCGTTGCTGCTGCAGCAACACCGTTGTTGGGACATAAAGAGACTGTGGTGGAATGCGTGACATTTGCAGCTGCGTCACTCAGGCCCACGAGCCCGGCTTGGAAACCGGTTGGCAACTCCACTGCGGATATATCTCCATGCACCACGCATAACGCATGACGACAATGGCCGAATCTTCGAGAAGCCCATTTTCGTCATTTGCAGGATTGGGGCAGGACATCTCGCTTAACGAACCGCAACAAACTGCCTGCCTTAGCCTTAGGGTTTCTGGTAGCTGCGTTTGTTTACAATCCCCCAAGGAGCCCTTTCCATTCACCGTGTCAAGTGGCAACATATGTATGTCGGCTTCCCTCATTCTCATTCAGACCGCTTTTCGGTGACTTGGCGTGCGTGTGTGCCGTTGTAGTTTGTCTGTTTGTACACCTGTCTGTCCTGCGCTGAGATGTATGTGTGTCTGTGTGTGTTACACCTCAGTTGTGTTACCCAAAGAGAGGTGTAACGAGGGCCCTCACAAGCCGTATGTGTAATCCCCCCTGGATTGATTGGGTCCTGCCGCTTGTGCGTGGCTGCTCTCAGTACGGAGCTTCATTAGGACATACATACAGCAGATCTGGAGGGTGCGTGGGGGATTTCTGATAACTGCGCATACGCGCCAGCAGGACGTACGGGTGCATTACTGAGAACCGCCGCCGAGCATAAATCACCCTTTCCTCCCTGCCTCCCTCCCTTTCCTCCCTGCCTCCCTCCCCTTCGTCGCTGCGCTCCGAGATATCAGCAGGCAGGGACCGGAAAACCTTGTTTGCTACAGGCTCTTCGGCAACCGTTGATGCACGGGCACGTGGGGCATATGGTCCCGAAGTTGGCTGGGTCGTACACCTGCGCTAGGCAAACCAGACAAAAGGCAAAGGGGATATATCATAAAAGAGCAAAACGATTCCAGATTTCTAAGGAGCGTTAGTTATAAGTACCATACACGATCACACAAAGCCGTGTTACATAAAATAAGCGCGAACCCTCAGTAAGGCGCGACCGATGGGTGAGTCACTCGGGCGGCCGCAGTAAGGACGAGAACGCGGGTTGCAGCTTCTCTTCCAAGTCCAATGATGGAAGAGAACCAGTTGGGGGACATCGAAAGGGACATCGAAACCCCGAGTTCCTTCTGCCCCCGTGAAAAGCAAACCCCCCAAAGGTAAGGTATGAGGAAAACCTCGTACCATGGCAAGGCAGTTGTAGGCGCTGGGGGTGCCCACGTCGGCGGCAAGAGTGGGGCACACGGGTAGCGGATCCGGGAAGGTCTGGCAGTTGATGACGGTGTTGACGTAATGCATGTTGTAGCCGCCTGTGCCAAACTCCGGAGAGGGGTCACCAAGAAAACGATATCTGCAAAATGCCGCATTATCTCGTCGACAAACACAACACACAAGGACAGGTGCAGGTGCAGGTGCAGGTGCAGGTGCAGGTGCAGGTGCAGGTGCAGGTGCAGGTGCAGGTGCAGGTGCAGGTGCAGGTGCAGGTGCAGGTGCAGGTGCAGGTGCAGGTGCAGGTGCAGGTGCAGGTGCAGGTGCAGGTGCAGGTGCAGGTGCAGGTGCAGGTGCAGGTGCAGGTGCAGGTGCAGGTGCAGGTGCAGGTGCAGGTGCAGGTGCAGGTGCAGGTGCAGGTGCAGGTGCAGGTGCAGGTGCAGGTGCAGGTGCAGGTGCAGGTGCAGGTGCAGGTGCAGGTGCAGGTGCAGGTGCAGGTGCAGGTGCAGGTGCAGGTGCAGGTGCAGGTCACTAAGTAGATTCGTTGCACGAGTGATGGCTAAGAAGACATTTTAACATTAACAGCCAAACCGCGCATCAAACCTGCTTATTATTAGGCCTTTCAAGGCCATTTTTTTCACCAACCTTGCTTCGTTTCTTGTTTTAAAAAAACAGCCTTCCCTTCCTTCTGATGACGACGAGGCAACCCATCACCTGCTATACCACCACCCAAACGCCACCATCACGGCGAGGTTATATATAATCCTAACAAGTCTTTTGCGCGTTTTTCTCTCCCCCCATAGGTGCCCTTTCCTTAGCAACCAAGGTGGCCTCCCCCCGCGGATCAAACACCACGTACCCAGCCAACAGCTTTTCCCAAATACAAATACAAATACAGACAAACCACCGAGTCAGCTTCCCAGTTTTTTCTACACCACCATGCACCATCCATGCACACACGGCGGTACCAAAGCACCCGCAGCTCCGAAACTGCTACACCTCTCCTTCATGGGTATCCACACACGCACCGTTGAAAGTGTACTGGTTGCACGTAGTCTCCGAGTTCGGCGGGCAGATGGTGGCGGTTTGGGCTCCAGGGAAGTCCGCGGGCCTCGTGAACACCTGCGTGAAGTACACCTGTGCGGCCTCACTGGGCCAACACACCTGGGAATGGAGGGGAGGAGTGGAGGGGAGGGGGGGTGAGGGAAAGGGGGGTGAGGGAAAGGGGGGTGAGGGAAAGGGGGGTGAGGGAAAGGGGGGGTGAGGGAAAGGGGGGTGAGGGAAAGGGGGGTGAGGGAAAGGGGGGTGAGGGAAAGGGGGGGTGAGGAAAAAGGGCACAGTCGTAGTAGGACATAGGGCAGTAGTGACTCCAGAATAAATGGCGGCATGACGGCAGTGGCGGAAATTCGGAAGCCGTAAATTATATAGGTTATAAAGGAGACCAAGAGCTATCAGTAATAAGGCGAGGTCAGGTGGGATGAGGCGGTTTCGGGGCTGAGATGCGGGGAAAGGGCGGGTTTGTTAGGGTTAGACACGTACACGCATCCACGCGCGCATCTATACGCTGCAATTGCATACACAGTCGCTCATGCACGCACGCACGACACAACACCAGGTATTCTTGTAGTAGTAGCTCTTGCAGTACGGTGACACCCTCGGTCGCGTCGAGGAACGCCTGTCATCATGATGATCGTATTCGTACCTGCTGGTTGTTAATGCAGTCCTGTACGACAACGGTGGCCCCCGGTGACGTGGTGAACAGCCCCACAGGCGCGCGAAGTGCTTGCATACGGAAGAGACTTAAACCTGAGCTCGAAACGCGATGGAGTACGACAGAAACCGGCAAAAAACGTAGTGCACGGCTGGGCCAAAGGTACGGCAGGAACCAGCCGCCAGCCAGGTTAGTAGAAGGCCATTTTATACATATTGTCTATACGAGCATTAGTACGTCAGCCGTCCATCGCTATATAAAAAACACGGCCACATTTCTTTCGGAAATTGAGAAGTCGTATATTGAAGCCCATCGAGTGGGCGCACTGCACACCGGTAGCTTGTTTTCTAGACCCAGCAGAAGTCTTTTTTCCGCAAGTATGTCGTACATCGTACATCGCACATCGTACACCGCACCTTGCAGCTTGAATGTGGTACCAGCCGCGAGCGACACAGCGCCCCCAATGTACGCGAAGTCAAAGGTGGGGTTGGCGCCCGGCAGCGCCCCGTAGATGTTGAGGCTGCGCTGCACTTGGAGCGGCGGGTTGCCACTGGCGAGTTGTGTGGCGGCGTTGGAGGAGATGGAGCTGATGGAGTTGGTGTTGGAGTTGCAGGAGTAGGTGGAGGAGGGGAGGAGGGGAGGAGGGGAGGTGGGGAGAAGGGAGATGATCTCCGAGGACAGAGACGATGTAAGCGAGTGCTTGCGTTTGCCGCGTTTCCTCAAAAGTTTGAATGAACAGAGTCGCGTGTTCTTCGTTTCTATGAGCGACCGGGCGTATTGGTGTTTATGTGCAGGTTGAAATTAGAGGTATTAGATGCGCCGAGGCCTGTTGACGCGTTCCACAGCAATGGACGATGATGGGCGTCGGGACAGCCAGCTTGCAAGTACTGCGAACAGAGCAACGGACGGCAAATCAGCACTCACATAATTCGTCAGCGCCGTCGCATACGGCGCCAAACTGGCGTCATTGTAAGCCAATCCGATGCTGCCGACGGTTTGATCGACAAACGCGTCGTACAGTTGCTGGTCGTTGTTCACCTGGGCTAGCGATAGGGCGGAACAAAAAAGGCGGTCTGGACATTGACCTGCATTGACTACCAAAGTTTGGCGCGTTGGGTAGTCTCAGAGACTTGTTGAAAAAGGGTTTACCTACCAGCGGAATTATACAATAATTTGGGCTTATGATGAAACTTTAGGAACGTAAAAATCGCCGCAAATTCCAACCCGGGCCGTTGCGCGTACGCCCACGACTGAATTCGTCACAGCCCAAGACTGAAGTCGAAGTGGCCATCCAACGACCGACAATAAGATAGCAATGCACGATTTCATATACCCGACGATAATGGGATGCAAGTTGTTATGTACAAATTGTTATGTATTGAATAACAGTTGGCTGAGGATGCGGGTAGAATGAAGGTATAAAATGTGCATTTTTGGTCACATTAGTCGTCACAGCCGCCACTGCAGCCGTCTTTAACCGCACCAAGCGCCTCCGACCACAGCCGCCATGCTGCGGAAATGGTTCGCTTACTGAGCGATGAAATGTTCTGTAATGTGCTAAAATTCGCTGAAAATTTGTTGCATAGCCGTTGCACAGCCGCTTCGTCATGTCGGCCTTTTTGGAAAGTAAAATGACGTGGAATACTCTTTGCGCGGGCCATGTCACGCACCGACTGCACATTCGTCAGCGCGCGCACCTGTCGATCGCTTCCCTGGACGATCACCGCGGTCGTCGCCCAGCCTAACAGGAGCAGCGCCAGCAGCGGCAGTGACGCACGAAGGGACGTCGGCGGCGGCGGCATATCTTCCCGCGGCCTGACGCTTCCAAAACCAAATTAAGATAACGAAAATGCGAGGCGCAAAGAGTTAGGCAAGGCAAGGGAGGCGATTTGGATCAGCGCAAAATCGCCTACTTGGCTTGTGCAACTATTCGGAATTCTATCCGCAGGGGTGCGAAGACTTGGCAGAATGCGTTTGTCGTTTTGCTGCCTCCTCCCAGGTATGGGGTGGCCCAGTTCTGGTGCGAAACGAAAATTAGCGAAGCAATCCTTTTTTTTTAAATGCACTGTACTGCAGTGTTGTTTATTACACCTCTTGAGCTCTTCCTTTTGCCAACGCATTGTGTCATAGGGCGTCATAAGATTATGGGAATGCACCCATGTAATTGCAAAAGCAGCCAAAAGCGACAACCACGAACTCCTGATCTGCTCTCTGCTAGAGACTGCTTGTTCAGGCCTGGTCGAGCCGCCAAGCCGTCGCGCGCTATGGACGTTGTAGCAACGTCCAGCTAGTCATAGAAAACTGAGTCTGACGGCTTTGGTTGCGTATCGTTCCGGGCATAGCAGGAGGTCGAATATTGCCATATCGTTGATTAGAAACTATAAACGCGTTGAGAACGGTCATGTACATACGGCGCACCGCATAAAGACTGACGATGTATGTTTCGACCGGGCGACGTAAAAGCAGGCGATTTGTGTCTTACGATCTAGCTCCGGTCTGAGAAATGTTCTATGAAAAATGTCCTGTACTAGTTTCTTCTCAGTTTCCTTTGGCCGCCATGAACCTGGCCAGGAGCTGCGTAAACGGGTAGCTACCGTTGCGTAATGAGCAGTTGCTGCGCGAAAAGGGTAGCTACGTCTTACGTTGACCATACGACAGTTGTACGAATGGCGGGCGCGTTTACCATATATAAGGCGCGGCCTGACCAATGTTTTCTAAGGGATACTCCAATCATACAACTCCCGAGCACGGTAGCAGGACGCACCGGCCAAGGCAGTTTGTAACGGATATCGCCTTCACTTGGCGTGGATGACTCCCACCCATTTTATCTTGTCAACAGCCAACCAGGTCCCAAGCTGACATTGGGCCTAGTGGCCAAGAAGCAGTAAAACTCTGCTCACATCAGGCTCACAACCACACCTGGGCCTACGGTCTCAGGACAAAACTCTGATTCTGCTTCCGCTCGCGCACACAAATCTCGATCCTATCCCACTAAAACAATCTACTGGTATCGATTCCTTTCTCTAAACGATCCTGGGCGCCCCGGTGTGTCCATCCAGCGGTTCCCCCAAACGCGAAAATTTTTGGGCTGCCGCTGGGTGCCGCCCGCCGCGGCGCGGCGCTACAACGTGACTATGGAAATGGAGCCCCGAGTCGATTCTCCCGCTGTAACCTCCCTCCCTTGAAAAAAGCATCCTCTTGAAGAGGATTTACATGTTCAACAAAATTCTTGAGGGCTGATAGCCAGAGTTGGCACCGTTTGCACCGTATCAGTTTTGCAAGTGCACGGCCAGTGCCTGGCCCGCTGGCTCTACTCTTCGTGAGTCCGGAGCCCACTGTAACAACCACACACACACACACACACACACACAGACTCTCTCTCTCTTGTGGACTGTCTTATCTTTCCTCCTTTCATGTAGACCGCCTTGCGGCCCCCCATGCTCTCCCGGACTCGCGGGTACATTTGCCGAGGCACGTGAATCCCACGTGCGGGTTTGGGTATTTGTCATGACAGCAGCTGGTCGTATGCAAGCAGAAGCTAACTGACAAAATAGGAGGATAGGAACAGCGTTCTCTCTCTGAATATCAACCTAGTGCATGAGAACACTGTTTCAAAAGCAGCCCGAGAAAAAAGATCACTTTTGAAGCAAGCGCGAACAAAAAGATTATTTTACTCCTCGCAATAACAAGAAAACAGCATGAAGTGGCAAGGCAAGTACAGCGCAACTGGGAAAACCCAAAACGTCGTGTCCCCCGGGGGTGCCATACACAGCAGATCCTCCCAAGCATTGCCACGCCGTGATCACACATTTTTGCCAATCCGGCGGAAAGTCCCCATGCACGTTTTATGCATGTTATATCCCCATGCACGTTTTATGCATGTTATATCCCCATGCGCGTGTTATATGGCAGCATTACCACAAGAAGGAAGGGAAGGGACCAGCTGAAGGGTAAATCAGGGCAGCATCATATCCCCCAACCTTGTTCTGAAAAGGGGGCCTAGATTGTGCCAATGCCGTACACATGCCGTACCTGCTTTCACCATGCTGATGCATGATATCATGATCACGAAAACACAACGCAGCAGGAGTCCGAGTGCCCACTGGCCAGGGTCCCTGTTTGCCTGCCGTACACATGCCGTACATGCCTGCGGTCACATGACGCATGTCTCCGACGCAATAATGTCCTATCATGGTACAGGCCCATACAGACATACAGACAGACAGGCCTCCCCTGCGATGTATAACTATAACTGTATAACTGTAATGCCCCCCTGCGCCTGCCTTGGGCTTGCACATACATGTGCACGGTGTCGATGGAATGGATAGATTGTACGGATGTACGGATAAGATTGAGGATCTGAGTGGATGGATGGGTGGGTGATGAGCGTTTACCATTCATGCATTCCACAAGCGTGACGACCTGCATTGCAACCCCGCCGCCCTCACAACCTCCCAACCTTCAACCCCCCCAGAGCCTTCAAGCAGCCAGGCCTTCAAGCAGCCAGCCCGCCAGGCCGCCAGCCAGCCGGTCAACCCATATCCATCCACCGTTTCCATCCCACCTGCCGTCCGTCTATGCGCCCATCCAGACCACCGGTAAGCGAATCCGATGATGCAGCACTTCATTACTCCTCGCCTCAAGCCATACACAACATCCCTACGCACATACAGCACCAGCATACCACTACCCCAGCCTAAAACCCCCAATTCCTCCCGCACATCACCCACCCACACCGGCAAGCAACACTACTAGAACTGCATGCAGGCAGCCCCTCCCCTAGAGATTTTACTTTTACACCACAAACGCGGGCTTCACCCCGTCCAGCCGTTGGTGAAGCAGCGCCTGCACAAACCCATCCTTGTCGTACACTCGCGTGCCGGCAGGCAGGTGCTGTCGCGCCCAGCGCAGCTCCCCAGGCTGTCCAACCACCACTGTCTCCCCCGCAACGACCTCCCGCGCAGCCCCCAGCAACGTTGCGCCCGCCAGCTGCGCAATCAGCGCCAGACCCTGTGCCGGAACGGAGCGGCGGCCGGTGCTGGGGTCGGGGCTGGGTCCGGCGCTACCGGGGGGGCTAGGGCCAGCGGAAGGAGTGCCGACGGCGCCGACGGCGCCGCGCCCGGCGGTGCCGGTGCTGGTCCGGCCACCAGCCTTGCCAGCTCTACCACCGCCAACTCCACCACCACCACCACCGCCGCCGCCGCCGCCGCCGCTGCTAGCCATCTTGGAGTCCTCCAAGGCACGGAGCGGTGTGGTGTAGAAGGTGCGGCCTGCGGGTATGCGGAGTATGTACTGCTAGGTTCAGATGTTCAGGGAAGACATGCTCATGGACGGCTCGCTCGCTGATCATGGCGCGATTGTTTTTAATCATCATCATCCAAACTTGCAAAGCGCCTATCTGGCCCCATACTTCGTCGGCCCTACGCCAAACGCCGCATGGGCTGCAGGAGCTACCCCACTCGAGCTTCGCGATGGCGTCCTACCTTTCAGCATGGATCCCTCCCGCCGCACTGTCTGGTATGCGTCCCAGATTCCAAACTTGTGCTGCTTCTCTGCCTTGGGGTCAACTGCCGCGTGCTCTGGCTGCGGCTCCAGCCACATGCCTGCGGCGCGGCACGCCGCCAGCCACACAGCGTCCAGCAAGGGACGACCGGACGCCAGCGCCGCCAGCACCTTCATGCTGGTCGTGAAGGCGCCGCGCGCCAGCAGCAGGTGCGTGAAGCCGCCCGCATCCGCCTCCTCGTCCTCCGCCACGCGGCCACCCAAACGCTGGACCGCCAACGCCAAGCCATTGCGCTCACGCTCCGGAATGTTGCGGCTAATGGAGACCACAACGCCGGTGCCGCCGCCATCGGCAGCGGCTGCCGTTAAAGCAATGGACCCGCCACCTGCGCCGTCGGCAGCGGGGGGACCGTCAGCAGCTGCCGGCGCCTGGCTGCCCCGGCGGCGCCGCAACAACGCCGTGGTAGACGGCGAGCCTGCGTTGCGGGAGGCTGGGGTCGGGCTGACGCTAGCGCCGCGGTCGTCCGGGAGTTCCGAGCCCGGCGGCGCAGCCGCCTTGCTGGCCCTTGGCTTCCGTCCGCCGGTGCCGCCACTGCCGCGCTTTGCCGCTGTTCCTGCTCGCCCAGGCGAACAGGACACGCGCTGCTGCTCTGGCTGCTGCTCTGGCTGCTGCTGTCCCGATTGCCGTCCCAAGTGCTGCTGCGGTTGTGACGGCGGAAGCCGCAGCGGCAGCGGGCGGCCTCTGGGTGCCGCGTTGGCACCGCTACGTCCTTCCAGTCTTCCCGGGGGAGTTCGTTGCTCCTCAACCGATTCAGGAGCGACCATTGAAGACTTGCCGCGAGCGAGGGACACCGCCGGAACTCCCGTGCCAACAACCGGACCCAGGCTCGGCCCTTCTTGTGGCTGTGGCTGCTGCTGCTGCTGGTGCTCCGGAACCATTCCCTCCTGTGGCCGCTGTGGCATAACCTCAGCCTCGGTCACAGCTTCAGCTTCTGTCTCATGAGCTGTTTCCTGCTCGTGGGCCTCCTCAGCTGGATCCTGCACGTCCGCCGACTCGACCGCCTTCCGCTTTCTAGCTCCCCGTTTGGTCGCGACAGCACAACGGGAACCACCACCACCACCACCACCACCACCACCACCACCACCAATACCATCACCACTACCGCCGCCATCGGCACGACTACCGCCGCCATCAGTACAAGTGTCCCCGTCGCCAGCAGTGTTACTGGAGGTCCTCGCAGCCGTCCGCCTCGCTGGCACCGCCGCCGGCGCCGCCACCACTGTTTCAGCCTGTTGTTGC